ACTATCAAAACGCCTGCCATTTGAAATAAATAAATATTAAGTATAACTCTATAACTAGGTTTCAAATGCTAAAATTTCCTAAAAATTATTGAAACCCAATTTATTGAAAATAATTAGCAATAAGTAACACTTCTCTACTTTTAGACATTTAATATTATTAAATTATCTTCTCGCATTGATCCTTTTGTTGTGATTAGTTTCAGTTTGGTCATAAGCACACAGAAAGTGTGAAAACACACAAAACTAATTATTTTAATAAAATAATAATTTACTGTGGTTTGAGGTTTAAATTTGCAAATGTATCCAGTTAAGTGAATTTGCGTGCTCAATATTAAGCCCACAAAGTTGTTGCAATGTAGTAATATGGGTATGCGAGTATATGTCAATTTCCTCCTTTGTGTAGTATTATTCAGACTGGTTTTTCGACTGTTGTCATGCGTATACAATCGCCGATTGTCGGCAACTCTTGACAAGAACTCTGACGTCATGCGGACATTGATTTCTGCGAATTCTCCGTTTCTTATTCATTAATGCCTTCATCTCTAAATTATAAATGCATTAAAACACAAATCTTGAACAATGGCCAATCTAATCTTTGATTGATTCATGCGATTTTATTTGAAATTGTCTTAATGTCCGACTATTCGAATTGACAGATTTATTTCAAGTGGCAGGCGTTTTGATAGCCATCATTAGCCATTTAGCTGACTTCGAGCTTCACAGAGAGGAGGAGGATCATCAAAGTGACAAAAAGTCGAGAGGGGAGGAACGGAAGAGTGATTCACAGATGTAAAAGAGACAGACAGGCACAAAGGTAGAAAAAGGTGAGGTGACAATGTGGGTCGAATATGACAAGCAGTCGGGCCATAGTAGTTTGGAGTCAGAAGTCAACTGCCGGTCGATAGGCTTTTTTTTTGCCGTATGAGTATTCGAATTGACAGTGTGGTCTGACCAGAGCCCCACCCCTCCTCCTCTCCTCATTGCATCCAAGTTATACCTGTATATCGATCGCGGGTTGGAATTTGCATTGTCGTGTCAATTTTGTTTACCACAAGTTGTTTTGTTCTCGATCATCAGATCTAATCTTAGTCCGCAGTTTTACTGTTGCTAATGAGCAACCCATTGTCCACAGCAAAACTAGGCTCTTTGATTTTGGGAAATCACTCGTTTTCTGTTGTTCATTAGCAGTACGTTATAGCTAAAGAGCATACCTTAGTCTGACATTTACTATTTCATAAAATGAAAGACAGATAGACTGTCAAAATTGATTCTTGGCTCACCAAATGCCAGAAAAAGTAAGCAAAAATGAAACAGATACCTTAATTTTCATTTGTCTTATCTAAAGGAGTTTGAAAATGTATTTAATAAAAATAGAATGAAAATAAAAGTACAATATCGTGTCGTGTAAATTTGTACAAATTGCTTTTAATGGTGAAAGGGAATAGGGAAATCCACTTCGTTCAGTCACATTTTGGAATAGAAATCAATTACTTATCGATCGAAAAATACCTCATAAGCATTCGTTTTCGGGCCCTTGATATATATATATATATATATTTCAAATGGCAGGTTTTATGATATTTATCATTAACCCTTAAACTTTGACTTCACCTTCCCCCAAGGGAGGGGGGGGGGTACATTTATAGCAGCTAATAAATAGCAGTTCATTAGCAGTCTTCTTGCTTCCCAGTATCTCTGGCTTTCCGTCCCTGTCTTTAGGGCTGGACATCGAATCAGGATGGTCTTCTCCGTTTCCTCCTGTAGGTTAAGAATCAGATGGGTCTTCTCCATTTCCTCCTGTAGGTTTCACATCAGGTGGGTCTTCTCCATTTCCTCCTGTAGGTTACAGATCAGATGGGTCTTCTCCATTTCCTCATGTAGGTTACATATGGTGGGTCTTCTCCGTTTCCTCCTGTAGGTCACATAGACAGGTGGGACTTCTCCATTTCCTCCTGTAGGTTACATAGAGTATGTGGGTTGAGTGTATACTCTCAATCTGTGAAGGTGTTTTGATGGTTGAGTGTATACTCCCAATCTTTGAAGGTGTTTTGCCAGGCAATCCGTCGGTACGTAGTCTAAACTCAGCAATGGCTTCGATTCTTGGCTAGTCGGGTATGTCGGAGAGTGCCACTGTCCACTGTTTCTCTAGTACGTAGTCTAAACTCAGCAACGGCTTCGATTCTTGGCCAAAGTCTAAACTCAGCAACGGCTTCGATTCTTGGCCATTACGTAGTCTAAACTCAGCAACAGATTCCATTCTTGGCCATGGTAGTCTAAACTCAGCAACGGCTTCGATTCTTGGTAACCGTGTCAGGTACGTAGTCTAAACTCAGCAATGGCTTCGATTCTTGGCTAGTCGGGTCGAAGAGTGCCACTGTCCACTGTTTCTCCTTTCTTCGAGGTAAGACTCAGCAACGGCTTCGATTCTTGGCCAGTCGGCCGGAGAGTGCCACTGTCCACTGTTGAGAGTGCCCCTGACTGTTTCTCCTTTGTTCGAGCTTTAAGTTCGTTGCACTTGGGCCCTTGAAATATTTATTTATTTCAAATGGTAGGCGTTTTGATAGATATCATTAGCCATTTAGCTGACTTCGGGCTTCACAGAGGGAAGGTTCATCAAAGTAGCAGAAAGTCGAGGGGTGGGGAACAGTAGAGCGATTCACCGATGTAAAAGAGGCAGACAGACATAAAGGTAGAGAAAAAGGTAAGGTGATTACTGTGGAAGGGGTCGAATATGACAACCAGGGGGGTCGTGGTAGTTTGAAGTCAGAAGTCAAATGCCGAGTAATAGACTTTTTTGCCATATGGGTTTACGTTGCCCAGGGTGCATCACGTGGAGGTAAGTCTATCGCACACCCCGCCCTTGAAATATTGAAATCCGCTATCCTAAAGCATGACCACTGATATCAATACGTGTTATCAAGACATTTATCGCAGATATTTGACTAATATGATTAAGTAATTTTTAATTTCTTCATTACTTCCCAAATAACACAAATACCCCTCCACCCTCCCCAGTCTACAAGCACCCTTAAATATTAAACCAAAGCATATTTTACTGTAGTTCCAACAATTAAAGGCAAATACATTTTCGAAGAAATTCAATGAGAGTTTATTGCCATAATATTAAATTACTTTCAGGATAACCACATTTCTCCATCAATAGTGAACTTGGCTCATCAATTATTACAGTGTTAATACCATTGACCTTGAGAAAGAGCATGTCAGTTATGCGGAACGTGGGGCCAATCAAATTCGATGCTTTATGTCTGCCATATGTACCATGAAATTTAACTTGAATGTCACGTGTTGGTTGTTAATATGAAGTGACGAAGTCAATGGCGCAATTAGGCCAAAATGCTAATTTGTTTTATTTAAATGAGACCCGAATGGGAAAAAGTTTCTTAAAAAAGATGTTTCAAGATATTTAACTCGGCATACTCTGTTTAAAGTTCATCTTGCTCAACATTTCTATCTATTTATTCTTTATATGATCACAATAATATGATTTTAAAGTAAAAATGCACTTATCTCCTGTGATCATACAGACATCTTTATTAGAGTCAATTAATACATATTCCAATGTTTAAATAAAGTTAATGCAATATCTAGCAGATAGGTGACATGTTGATAAGCGTTTTAGTGATCCCAATGTTTTGTGATTCGCGTATTTGTGCGATGTTCTACACAAATAAGCCTTGAATAGACTTTGACAATCCAAGCTAATCAACTAGTTGATGACCAATGGAAATTTCCTTTGACAAAAACCCCTGGTATAAAATTGCTCTCAAAATTAGATAAAAGTGCGACAACTGTAGCGTGAACAGGAAGTATGAAGTGAATAAAATTTTTTACAATTTAGCCAACTATCGACGCGCATAATTGGTAACTAAAATCCATGTTATGCTGTTCTCTATAAGCTGGAGTGGCGATTGACTGAGAGAGACGGTGTCTAGAGTCGAAAATTGAATGAGGGCGAAGTGAAGGGTGTACAAAAAACTGAATTTCACGATTTAAATCACACTTTAATGCTAGTTTGCTTAAATTAAGACTTAAGAATTGACCCTTTTTTGAATACAGTGCTCTTAATGCGTGATATATTTATTTCAAATGGCAGGCGTTTTGAAAGTTATTATTAGCCCTTTAGCTGACTTCGGGGCTTCGCAGAGAGGAGGAGGAGGAGGAACATCAAAGTGAAAGCAAATCGAGAGGGAGATAGAATAATGATTGACAAATGTAAAAGAGACAAATAGACAGAAAGGCATAGGGAAGGTAAGGTGAGTACTGTGAAAAAGGTCAAATATGACAAACAATCGGGTCATACTTGTTTGAAGACTTTTTTGCCGTAAAAGTATACGTTGCCCAGGGTGCATCACGTGGAGGTAAGTCTATTGCGCACCCCAAAATGCGTGATATAAGTTTAGATCACACTGAAAGTGCGTTTAAATATGGTAAATATAATAGTTAGAAGTTAAGTAGGTTGAAAAATGCATCAATAGACACTTTTTTCGTTGACATATGAATTAACGGGGTCTTTGGAGTTTTCAACTGTCGTGGGTCCATGAACACCCAGTTGGCGAAATGGCCAATCACAAGAGTCAAAAGGGCCCAATCAAGTATCATGACAAGTGATGGGTAGCGCTTTTCCATATGGCCTCAAAAGCCATTGCAATTAAAGTGGAAGATATTTAATTGAACTACTTCAAACTTAAACAACTGAGGTTTTTTCGCTAAGTTCCATTATTTCAGTAGTTTACACTTTGAACTAATGATGAAAACACAAAAATAAAACATCCAGTTGATTGGTGGCTTTATTCTATCAGTTAGCCAATTGCGTCGCTTGGATGGCATAGGTTGCCGGGTTGGAAATGGCAATGGTAATGAAAGAATATAACTAGAAATGACAATCGGATAACAATGTCGTAGAAATTTAGCCTTATCTGACCTTTTATTCAATAAAAAAATAAACGAGTTAAAAAAAGGGATTTTACTCCAAAGAAGAAAATTCTATAGGGACTGGAACCACTTCTGAGAGCATAATTAAAAAGATCTCAAGCTTTGATTAGATAAATCGATTGTTACTTTCAATGACCCTGCAAATATATGGTACTCTTCGCTCTACGCCGATCGCTTCATCCTCGTAATAGGCAAATAAAAACGGTTTAGCAGAACTATTGCCTTATATATTTAACAAATCCAACATTTTCTCTTATGCGTTGAGTTTTTAATATTTAGATGTTGCCGATGGTAAATATATATATATATATATATATCTATATCGACGATTGTACAAACACGAAATATATTCTATTTATTTATTTTTAAATGTCAGGCTTTATGATAGTTATCATTAGCCCTTCAGCTGACTTCGGGCTTCACAGAGAGGAGGAGGAACATCAAAGTGAGAAAAAGTTGGGAGGAGGTATAGAATAATGGTTCACGGATTCAAAAGAGACAGGCACAAAGGCAGAGAAAAGGTATGATGAGTATTGTGGAAGGGGTCGGATATGACATACAGTGGGGTCATGACAATTTGAAGTCAGAAGTCAACTGCCGGTTTATTGCTTGGCTTGTAGGATACATCATGTTCAATCCGATTTTAATTATCTTTAGTAATAAATCTAGGAACCTTCTTTACTTCGTTTAAGAGCTTATCAACTGCCTAAATAATTTTGCACAGTCGATCAATTGCAGCTGGCATCACGATGGAAGGTAACATGACTTTGAGTTCATAAAACGGAGGTCAATATAGCGTTGATGATCGGAGGGCATCTTCGTCATGAATGGCCAAAAATTGTCACCTTTCCTTCTTCTAATCAGGAATAGATTTAATGATGACGACAACAACGCATTTCATTATTCTATTACAACCGACTAATTCGATTGGAAGAAACTTCAAAATATATATCAATAGAGCATCGCCAAGACGTAGAATCACAAACATGCAATGATAAAACGCTCTTATAGGAGACGTATGTTCAAAATTTCTGGCAATCAGGCGTAATAGTAAAACAACAACTCAAAATGCAGAAAATAAAATTTCAATAATTTTATGGTATTGCTATAAAATCCCCTACCAAACGTAACAAAAATATATTTATTTATTTAAGTAGATATTCGCAATTTTTAATATTTATTCAAAACTAATTTAGATTGTCTTAAACGAGCAAGTTTGAAAATGAATATGTTTTTAAGCAAACAACTTAATGCTCACATAAACTGTGCTGGCAAAAATTTAAAGATACGCGTGGGTACGTTTCGGAAATTCACCGAACCTGTTTCTTAGATACATAAATTTAAAATGTAAATTACAAGGATTTCTGATGTTACACATGGAAATGCCCATTCTTCAGAATTCCTTATTTTAAAAAAGTCAATCGTGCAAGGTCACGGAACATCTCTCATCTCATTATTTGAATTTCAAAAAGATGGAATTTTGCATATTTTACTAATGAGAATGGATTTTCTACTTGAATTTTACTAGTTGAGCATGGTATCTCTGACAAACTTATACCCAAAATATTCCGATCTTACTAATCAATTAATTTAATTTCGCGATTCATTCTGCCGCATAAACTTTTCGTCATCCCAATTTAAACAGGAATGCCAGTGGTGATATCCTCGATGGTTCAATGAGTTGATACAAATTTTGAAACCCCTCTGTTTATGGGTCATCGGTTTTGGGGTGCAAGTTAGATGGTTACTTTCGGGGCTGAAATAATGATTTCCAGACAGTTCAAAATTTATTATTAGACGTCAATGCGTCAATAGGTGCAACTGAGTTTACTACCTAATGGTTTACTACGAAGTATTAAAAGTGTCACATCTTACGATTAAAAATCATTAATTTAAGTGATGTATGGACCAAAACTTATTATTTCAAATGGCAGACTTTATGATATTTATCATTAGCCCTTAAAATTTGACTTCAGCTTTCCCCATGTGTGGGGGAAGGGTACATACATAGCAGTTAATTAATAGCAGTTCATGAGCTGTCTTCTTGCGTCCCAGTATCTCTGGATTTCCGTCGTTGTCTTTAGGGCTGGACAACGAATCAGGTGTTCTTCTCCATTTCCTCCTGTAGGTTGCATGGGGTCAGATGGGTCTTCTCCATTTCCTCATGTAGGTTACATATGGTGGGTCTTCTCCGTTTCCTCCTGTAGGTCACATAGAGGCATGTGGGTTGAGTGCATACTCCCAATCTGTGAAGGTGCTTCGCCAGACAATCGTGTCCGGTACTTAGTCTAAACTCAGCAACGACTTCGATTCTTGGATCAAAAATATGATCACATTTATGTGCGTAGTAGTTATGAAAATAAATCATGTTGCTTAATCCATAATGAAATCTATAAAGTTTGCTTTATTTGCCATTTCCTCGAATTATAATGACGACAATTCCAAGGTTGATGCTTAATAAGTTAAATTTAATCATCAATAAATTATTTGTTTGAATTCTACTATTTTTGTAA